CATCGCCAGCCAGAGTCTTCAGGTGCCGTCTGCAAAGAGCCCCTCTACTGAGCTCCTGGCTGACTCCTGCCAGGCCAGCAGGTCAGGCAGTCATGACATAAAGCATACATTTTATAGCACATTCAGCAATTATAAATACTTTTATGACTTTATTTAATAGTGACAATGAACAGGAAATAGGGGGAAAGAGAGCATGGGAACAACATACACCAAAGGTCATTGCAGCCAAATCAAAGTGGGACCTCATTACTTGGGCATGTTGGTGGTCTAAAAACTCAGCTGTAGGGTTACCATTTTAAAAAGCTATTTAAAAGGTTTCAGCTAAAGCTTTTCTGGACAATTTAACCACAGGTTGGTCGTTGTTTTGTTTGGAACAAAAAAAGGACTCCTTTAAAGACTTTAAAGGTTTTGGTGCCTCAGGAAGAGCATGTGTGATCCCCAGCTCCCACAGATTCTTATGCAAATGCATTCAGTCCCTTTGAATACACCCACTTGATCTTATATTTGCCAGCTGAGCAGTAATGATAATGTTGGAACGTACATGCCATTAAAACCATTACACTTGTGCTAATATCAAATGTTGTGTTTCTGGCCCGAATCTCCAAGCAGCCTAACAATGCAGTTAATGCAGTTTTTCCTGCTCACCACAGGTGTCAGTGCTGTAAGACTACAGAAATATTTCTTTAATGCTCCACAATCTGCATAAATTATATAATTTCTTTGCAGCAGAGTGATTTCTCATCCAGAGGCAAGGCTAGGGGGCTGATTGATGGGTCGTGTTAAAACTTTCGGACATTTTTAGAACACAGAGGGATATTATTTTCTCAATTCCTTGATTGCAAACCCTCAGGATTTATCAGACATATTTCTACTAAAAAAGGTAGAAAAGCTAATTTAAGTTGCCTTCCTCAGTAGATAAATAATAAAACAGTTTATGTTTTCTCTGTATACAAGCAGCAATTGATGATGAAAATTTGTTACTGAAAAATCTAAACTTCCTGTTATTCACACACACAGTAATTATTCCACACCCTCTTCTGTTTCTGTAGGAGTGGTCAGAGCCTAAGCGAACTAGCATGTCATCTGCATGTGACTGCTGACAGCGAATCGTGGGTAATATCTGATCTTCAGAGACTACTTCCTTAATGTGACTAATGAGGGAAGCCACCCATACATGCTTTAAAATGTCGAATACTTAGCTAAGTACATAGGAAATGGAGATACACCCACATAAGAAGACTTTTTCCTCCTAAAGAGCAAGATAGAAAAGAATCCAGCAGGTTTCTTCTCTTTATATTCTTTGTGACAGCTTCTGAAAATGAAAATCTCCTCTTTTAAGTCTTAAAAATCCCAGGATGCTTTTTGAAACCAGTTTTGTGATATGTTGTTTGAAGTGAAAAATAAATCTGTATTTGTATATTATAATAAATTGTAACATTCACGGATCCAAGGAGCTTTATTTGTCATTCGCATCACATGTTAACATGAGGTGGAACGAAATTATGTACACACGGTCCGGAGTGAAAAGAAACAAAAATAATGAAGAAACAGAAATTTTTTCTTAAAGTTAGAATAAATAGTTGGGGTTTTTTTGTTTTGTTTTTTTAACAAAAGAAATGACAAGTAATAAGACAATACAATAAATAATACTATAACTAGAGTGCAACAACCTGAGTACCAGTATGGAGTATGGGTAAGGAGTGTAGGTATAAATATAGGTGTAAATAAATATTTTAGCAGCAAAGGGCATAATGACCAGCATTGATAAAGTGACATAAAACATTAGAATCGACGCGTTCTCCGGGAGCGTGAGTAGCTGCTGGTCTACTGTGCGCCGCCATGTTGACATTAACATTTTAATGGAACCCAGAATAACCAAATGTTGCTTAAAGTACTACTAAGAGTGTTAACTAGGCACTTTATAAAACAAATGCTGATACATGTTGACATTGCCTTCCTTCGATATGAATGAGAGAGACACAGTTGCACTTTCTTGTAAAGTTTGATAAGTATGACTCTCATTCATATAATTTAAATCTTCACTTTGATATTTTGGGAAAATGTCTTGTTTGCTGTCCAGAGAAAGTCAGATGCCTGTAAATGTAGGACAGCAGTTAGATTATCCTCATACAAAGACTGGAAACAAGGAGAAAAGGCCAGCTATAGCCAGTGTTATTGAATCTTCTTTGAATATGTTATATTTAATTATATCTAATTTGTTTAATATGACTGATTCATGGCTAAATCGCTTCATGAAGTCATTACAGGACTGTTTTCAACTTTTGGACAGCATCAGGCTCTTTTCATTCTGTTTGTAGTCTCTGTGCTAAATTTGGGAACTGACTCTGGCCTTGCAGTGAACATACAGACAGTAAATTGGTATTGATCAAATCTTAAACCTCTGAGCAAATAAGCATCATTTCCCAAAATGTCCTATTCTTCCTTCATGTGCAAATCCAAGACAGCAAACATACTTGTCGTATTTGCCAGGGCTTCTGGACAAGCAGTAAAGTGAAAATTTATGTTCCATCTATAAAGCTGTTTGGATGTCTGTGCAATGTATCCCTGCATGTTTGTACCCCACATGACATGGACCATGAGCTGTGTTATGTGAATTTGTGCTAAAATCCTGTTCTGGTGCAGTTCAGGACACAGGACTGAATAGTTTACATGTGATTTTAAGGACTTGGCTCGTTGTGGTGTCTTAACTGTTGTAAATCACCTTGCCTGTCAGCTGTGCTGATTTCTCTAAAAGTATTTACATTTATTTGTTAAGATGATTTTAATCTGACTGTTGTAGAAATCTTTTCCATCCATCCAAGTTGATATCATATATAATTTACAGTTAAGTTATGAGTTAAAATTGTTTTGTTTAAGTGGATTTAAAGTGTTGATTTTATTAAATGTAAATATGCAGTAGCGTTAATCTTTATTATTTATTAAATCCTTAATTAAAGTTGTATTTAAAGAAATTGGTTATCTAGGTCTTTGTTGTGTGAATTTCAGCTTTTGCATTTGATCACATATACAGGGAGGGCCATTTATATGGATACACCATAATAACATGGGAATGGTTGATGATATTAAAGTCCTGTTTGTGGCACATTAGTATATCTGAGGGGGCAAACTCCTCAAGATGGGTGGTGACCATGGTGGCCATTTAGAAGTCGGCCATCAGTGTATCCATATAAATGGCCCACCCTGTATTTTAACTTATTATAAGTATTTTTTATGTAGGAGACAACAGTTTTGGAATTTTCTTTAATATTATTTCAGTTCAACTATACTAAAGTTAGAATTTTATGTGACCAAAGGTAAAACTTTTGGGTAGTTGTTTTTCTTTTTTTCCACTGCTGTCACGTTTTGACACCTCAGTTCTCTGGGTTTTCCTGCAAAGTAACAAAGAGATTCATAAAATGTTATCTGGCAATTTAATCCATTCATTCAAGTTGAGATTTTACAGGCTCAAAAGATGTGCAGCTCTTTCAACAAGTTCTTCAGAAAATGGCATCTGATCTTGTGGTTACATGACTGTGTGGTCAGGTCAGCAAGTGTTCCAAAAAACTTTACATTTTAAAACTTAAAGAGCATACCTGCATCTGAATCTACATAAACCAGTTTCATATTTTTAAACATGCCCTAAAACATAAACTGCTGTGTGGGATGTATATGATGTTGCAACCATGAGGTGGCAGCATTATCCTGCATCGCTTCTGAAAGGAGTCCAAGCATCAGTAAAGGATACTTTTTAACTTGAAAGTGAGTGAAAAGAAGTGTAATAAAACAGATGCATTCTTGTAGCATTATCATTAATAAAAAGATGCTCACTATTTTATACTTCATGGGTTTGTGTTCCGGTGGACTGGATGCCTGTTTTCATTTTTTTTTATATATTTATATATTTTTTGTTGTGTTAAAAAGTAAAAGTCTCCCTTTAATCAAGCCAAGTAATTAGATGTTCAAAACAAAAAAACGACCCCCGTTTAACTGTTTCAAATCAACTCACTACAGTCTGTTTCACAAGTGTGAATAGTTGATGTCATAGCCACTGTCAGTGTGGGGCCTCTGATGAATGTAAAGGAAAAATTCAGAGTCTTCAGTTATTGAGTTTTAAATGGCTCACATTAGCATTGTTCTACAGGTCTGAATAATGGCTGTGTGGGAGGTTCATTTAGAAATAAGAGTAAAAACTACTTCTTCGTGTGGTTTAATGACTGCGCATTAAAAAAGAAAAAGGTTATTGAGAATTTAAAGTGATAACATTTGCAAATGGGCATATGGGGATCATTTTGACCTGTTATTTATTTTGCGTCTGACCTTCAGAGGCCAGAGCTGCTCTGACAGAAGCAATGTCTGCTATGTTCTAGTTAAGATACAAAACTTGAAAAGCTTGTCTTAGTGTCTTTGTATGAACTTTGCAAATGATTATAATCTAACATGTTGTCTTCAGGCTTGGGCACTGTTTCATGACTGAAAGTTATTGATTGACTTATCCTAATGACTAGTCCTTCCACTTGGTTTAGGCTCCAAATTAAAAAAAAAATAATTAAAAAGTGAAAAATGAGATATATTGTTTTTGTTTTTTAACTGAACTTTGTGATAAGGTATTTTAACCTTTCAAGATTTAACGCCCTCAAAAGCCTTCAAAAGTTAAGGTTACACATAAGCTGCAGAGAGACTGTCAGTTTTTTAAAATGATTTATTTATTTTTTAAACATCAGCTAGCATTCTTATCAAATTAGTGTCAGATGTTTGGCTTCAAAAGAGATTCAGAAATATTTGCTGACATCATGATCCCTCTTTTGCAATTAGAAATTTGTATTCCTGATCACAACTTCCGCTATCATGATGATAAAACACTCACATGTGTGGAAGGTTTTGAAACCTCTCCCCTTGCATGCCGTGTGCAGACAGCAGACGATTGCTCAGTTTAAACAGCATCTGTTTCCTCTGTAACTTATTGGCAGGTTGGTTCAAAGAAAGTTCATGACAAACATCTCTGACATTTCTGTAGCCTTTATTTTAGGAATGGAAAACTATTTAAAAATGACATCACATATATAAAAAGAAAATTCTAAACAGTCACATGTTTGCGAGTGCAACGCAGGTCTTAAATACAGATTTCACTGTAACGGTTTACCTGGCCTTTCATTAACGTCTGTCAAAATTATGCTCGTGCCTGAAATCCATGCACACGGCATAGTCTGACCCCAAACGTATATTATCTTCAAGCAGAGAACATGCAGAACAAAAATCAATTGTTGCTTTCTAACTTTTAAACCATTTCCCCCTTCTTAATGTGTCAATCCAATAGCCACATCCACAGTAAACAACTTGCAAAATGAAAATAGACTGTTATTCTAATGAAACGATATACATGCTGACTGGAAGGTGTTACAATCACATTTTCATTTTGTGACACGAGGTCAAACACCGCCACCTTTACCAACAAGCACCAAATATGTAGAAAACACTGCATTTTTTCCTAATAAGCATCAGGAACCTTTAGAGGGTGTTTAAAAGATTGTGCTGTCTAGCCTGTGCCCCTTTATCCCTGTGTGACATATCCAAGCACAGTTTGTGTTGGTGTGTTCGGTCACTGAGCTGAACTGTGGCCGAACTCGGTTTTCACTGCATCCACTAGAAAACTGAGCTCATTGCACAGAGTCTCGTAGCGATAGGCCATGCGGATTTGTGCTACATTTGTCCGCCTGATGTCATTGCCCTTCGGTCCATCCTGTAGGTAGTTGGGCCCAATGAAGTGTTTCTTCTCCTATAGGGAGCACGGATAAAAAGATGTAGGTTGGAAAGTTGCAAATAGATATAATATTTCCAGAATTAAGTCATTGTGGAGTTTGAATTTCATAAAAAAAAAAAAAAGAGATTGCACAGAATAAATATGCACTCAATGAAGTCAGTACTATTGGACTGTCAGACATTCTCTTATCTAGCTTTTCAGTGGTAATAGGATCGGTACTAATCTGAAGGACATATTTTAGGGTTCTTCTTGGATGTGCCGATTGACATTTTTGTGAGCAATAAAGTTTTCGAAAGAAATTACTGGAATATTGTAGAATTTTGGGAAATTAGTTAGCTTTCAGTAAGTCTGCACTGCTATTTAGTGCCTCAAAAAAGTATTTGACCCTTCATTTGGGTTACACAAAGAGAACCCAAATACAGCAAAAAAGCAGTTTTTAAATGATGATTCCATTTATTAACACAAAAACAAACCTATCTGACCCTATGTGAAAAAAGTAATTACCCCTAAACCTAATAACTGGTTGTTAACTACAGTCAGTCATTAGCAATAACTGGCAATGAGTCTTTCAAATCGCTGTGGGGAAATTTTTGTTCACTCTTCGTTGCTGATTTGCTTTAATTGAACATGAACAGCGTGTTTGAGGTCATGCCAAAGCAACTCAATTGGATTTAAGTGCAGACTTTGATTGAACCGCATTAAAACCTTTGTCTTAGTATTTTTGAGCAGTGCAGCTGATGGTGTGTTTGAGATCATCATCCTGCTGTTTAAACCCAAGTCAGTTTGAACTTCAGGGCATGAACTGATCTTTTATTAATAATGAAAAGTCATCCAGCTCCTGAAGAAGCAAAGCAGCACCAGACCACCACCTTTATATGTGACTGTTTGTATAAAGCATTTTTTTTAATGAAATGCTGTTTGTTTTATACCAGAAGTAACAGGATTTCAAACTTCCAAAAAGTACTGCTTTTGTCTTTTTAAACAACCCTGGCAGCAGATCAACTTGAGTTCATGTTTAATACAAAAGTTTGGGACAAAAAAATAAAGACGTTTTTAGTTTATCTATTATTTTATCCATTGTATCTGTTTTCAAACGCATCATTTTACAATAAGGACTTTTAAAGAGAGCATCCCCCAAGCACAAAAGGTCTGACCTTACCTCATGTGAGAGGCCGCTCTGCAGGACACTGTTCCTGGCAATCTCACACAAATCACAAGTGCTCAGCTTCCACAGCTGAGCTGCAATGGCATACTCCTCCATCAAGGCCTCCTGAAACGTTTCAAAAAAACTGATATTAACAAATGAAATGTTATGATTAGGCTGGCAGGTCTATTTGTTCAGCACCCTTCAAGAAGAGAGAGATTTCTTGTATTTCTCTGTGCACCACATACTGACAGTGATTATTCAATTAGTCTCACAGATGTCACCAGACTGGAGCAAATTACTGTGATCAAAGTGACTGTGAAACGGTAAATAAAAAATTCTCCTGTGTTTCTGACCTTGGTGTAGTGGAACTGCATGGGGTCGTCGGTGGACAGGGACACACACAGGCCCTTGTGCAGAAACTCTCTCAGGGGGTTCTTGGAGTACTCCAGGAACAGGCTGTTGTTGCTCAGTGGAGACATGGCAATTGGGACCTGGGCCAGGTAGTATAGATACTGCAACACTGGGCTCTGGGGAGGAGACACAACATAGTGATGCGAATAGAACGATTTTGTTTTGTTATTTTCATTTTATTTGTGGGAAAACTAAATGAAATCACAAGCAGAACAAGTAGAAGTTCAAGGGAAACGTTTTGTAGATGGTGCAGACACGCAAGTCTTCCTAATTATAAGAAGTTATTCAAAACTAAGCGTTAAATCAATATTGACTTTCTCATCAAAATTCAAAAGGTTTTTGTCCTGCAAAGTTTTTGAGTTGTCATATTGTCTTTTTTTCCTTGCAGATGTGCATAAGTAGATGACAAGATGTTTAAATGGTGCTTTTAGAAACCATATCTGATGTTATGGCACAACAAACCTTGGGCTATGGAGCCCAGAAGATGGCAGCACTCCCCTCTCTCTCTGTGACAGAGAAAAAGCTTTAAACATGCACTCTGGAAAGTGCTTGTATGGAGGATGTGTCCATGTAAACTGACATAACTGACTGGAGCAACATGTAACCACATTCTTTGCACAGGCATTTGGAAGTTAAGGGCTGCAGCGCTAATCTTAGCAACATTTGTCATACTAATCTAATGTCGTCTGTGTGCAATAATGCAATGTGTTCCAAATTTGAGCAGTATTGAAAACATGATGCAATTATTAGAGAATGTGATTAACTGTTTTAAATCCTTCCTACATATTTATACATGCAGTGTTTAACCTCATCTGTTGGCTGTTTATTTTTCTCTTCACATTTAGTTGGATATTATATTACACAGCAGGAACTTCTCTGGTGTTTAGATATCAACTGGATGGTAAATGGTATTCTACCCAACACATCTTACTCAAACAAGCTGTTTTTGTTCTCCTATGAGCACATCGGAGAGGGACTAAAATGTGACAGCTAAAAACAAGCACTCGTGTGGATTAGCGTGTCACTGCTCGTTACTGATGGACCTGTTTGCAGAAAATATCATCTGCCAGCATCTTGTGCCATCAGCAAACACAAGACGCTGAGTATCAAACCTCAATATGATTTTAAGGTTTTAACCTTCTTAAGGTTGAGTCCATGGGAGATGTTGTCAGCTGTCAGGAAGGCGGAGACAAGATGAGTGATGGAACCCGCCTCTCCACAGTGGGGACGGAACAGGAAGGTGTTCAGTCCTCTTTGCCTGTAGAACGATCCATAGTTACTTTGTGCACTACTACATGGAAGCCATGTTGCATTAAATGAGATTAATGGGCAGGGCTTACTTGCGAAGGTTGTTGAGAACCATTATGTTGGCATACATGTAGAACAGATAATAGGTGTAGGGAGGATTGTCATCTGTGGTCCATGCCTCAGGCTTCGGGCTCTTGTAAGAGAACATGTGGTCGCTGTGTTTAGATTCGTCATCCACGCTGTCAAATCCCGTCACCTACAGGAAAACAGATTCATATCAGCACATTTGCAAACATAAAGTATATATAACACAACACTGAAATGAACGGACAGACGTGGATACATTTGTTTGTTTCCTTGCAGTTTATTGAAACAATGAATCATTTGATTCACCAAAACGAGCTCCAAAGTTTCTAAGAAAATGTCCTTTGGACTGAGGAGAAAGAACTGGAGCTTTTTGGCCACCCACGTCAGCTCTTTGTTTAAAGGAAAAATGAACCCTTATAAGAGAAGAACACCAAGCCTACTGTGAAACATGTAAGGGGATACTTTTGTTTTGGGGCAGCTTTGTTTCATCTGACACAGGAAACATAATCTGGGCAGAGCACAATGAAGTCTAGAGAGTACCAAGGCATGCTGGTGTGAAAAATACTGCCCAGTGTCAGAAAGCTCAGCCTCAGTCGCAGGTCATGTATAGCTGGGAATAAAACTTTGGACTATTCTTAAATGGCACTCCATGAGACAGGATCTTAATCCTATTAAGCATCTATGGAAACATCTGAAAGTGCAGTGTGGAGTCAGGATCCTTCAAACATGAGAGAGTGGGCTAAACTACCTGTTGTTTGGAAATGCAAACGTCTTATTGTGAAGTACAGAGATCACTTGTTGGTACTGACAACTGTAAACGATGTTGCCACAAAGTATTATATTAAGGCCACCACCTTGTTTTTTGTCCTGCCATTTTCATTTTGTTAAGTAGCATAAAATAATCATCTGATTCTTATGTAAGCTGATATAAGAATCAGATGATTATGTTTTTTGTTTATTTAATTGTGGAAAGGTACCATTAAATTTTTTCATGTCTGTATATGGTTGCTATTGCACATTAAAACTTCTCCCTTTTGACACTTACATATTTTAAGAACACGTGGACTGCTTTGTGCTTTTGAGGGTTGATTGTAGCCTCAAAGAGGGGGCGGAACACATTCTCCAGTATCTTGGCAAAGCTTGGGATTAATTTCTTTGACTTGAAAATATCACTGCAAGACAAGATGAGCAAATTTAACCCATCTTCCTGCATGTGACACAAACATTTTACAGTTTGTTTGCTTATTGAAAACAGCTGACTGAGAAGTGTAATTATTCAGAACCCAATTATGTTGGATTTAGCCTTCAGTTGATGCTTACTAAATCCTGGGCACTTGGATCATCCATCTCATGTTGGGCGAGTGGACCTTATGCTGGATGAACCACGTCGCTAGGCTCTCCCACTCGCTCGCAGAGCGGCCGTAAATTGACAGACGGGGCTCGGCATGTTGGTATTTGCTCTCCTCCAGCTCCCCAGCCACTTCCTGAAACGGATAACAAACCACAGGAAGAAACAGGATGTTTCTTGATAAAGCAGAAGTGACTAGTTGTAACTGCTCAGTGGACAGATATGGCAACATTGTTTCCAAGTTTCAGCAAAGTGCTTTTTACTGCATATTCCAAAGCATCGCTTAGATGAGCAGCACTACCAGTGCGTGTGAGGCATATATATATCTTATTCTAATTCATAATGAATATGACTCAAATCTTTGTACGTGTAGCAACATTTGATTGTATCAAAATGTCACAGTGACTCAGCATGCACAATACCAGGGCCTTAAAAAGTAAAAGCAGCTTTGTGGAGTTTAGTCATTGTTCATTTGATTATTTATGTTTGGGCTTTTTCCACAGTGATGTCATAATGTCTAGAAAAAAATATGGGAACAAAACTGGGAACATCCTGAACATATGAATTAGCATCTTATAATTGAATCTCTGGGGATGGTGGCCCGTACTTCATTGCTTTAACTGTAGCCAGATTATATCCAGGTCAGTTTCCTCCTTTTCTGTGGGATCAGTTCAAGTTGTGCTGATAAAAATGTCAAATGTAGTCAAACAACAGGCTACAGTTTCAAGTTTAAACATCAGTAAATGCACTGTTTCCCACACATAGGCTTTATTAGGTCACACCTCATATTTGTTGGCTTGCTTTAGCATTTTGTATTTTTGTATATCTTTTGTCTGAATGGGGAAAAAAGGCCTTCATGCTTTCCATGACCGCTGGCTCTACTAACTAGTTGTCCTCATTATTATTCAGTTGCTAACAGGATCTTGTAAAGCTCAATATGAGGCTGTAGCTCTCATTGGTAGTGCTTGTTCTGCACTGTAGATCAACTGGCACACTGAGACTGCAAACCAGGACTGTACATCTGTAGCTCTAAATGAATTTATACTTAATAGAGATTCACTTGAGAAGCAGCTGATAATGTCCTTCAGTTATCTGTCTCAAAGAGACTGACAGAAGAAAAGTATAAATGTCATTATTTAATTGTTGAATTGCATCTGTGCCTCCTATTTTGTCACCATCTGGATCTGTTTCAACATGAATAATGTAAAGTTGTTCCTTTTTTTGTTCTCCACCTTGGCTATTTACGCGTGTCAAACATGACAGGCCAAAACAAGAGCAAATAAATTCTGCATGTAGTTTGGTGCCTTTACATAACTTCAGTTTAGCTACAGCTAAGCAGGCCTTCAAGTGGTGTTAGTGCTTTAACTCATACTATACCTTAATGAGACGTGCAAAGTATTCTCCTTTGATGTAGTTGTCCGCTTTCAGGTAAATCTCCCGCAGTTCGCTGGCCCCCACAGGGTTGTATTTTGAGTTGAACTTATCAAACCGATGAAAGGTTTGCCTTCCCTAGAAGGATAATTGATCGGTCAGACAGTGAGGCTCATGCAGCGCAGTGGCGATCACAACATTTTCATTTCATTAAAGGGACTACAGTAGAAATTAACGGGAACTGTTAAGCTGTTTGTAAAGATAAACAACCAAACGGTCATTTATAGTCACTGAGTTATTGCCTCAACTGTTTGCATCAAGGACAATTTCTATTTATACAAGGTAATGCTGACATAGGAACAAGTAGAAAGCTTTGAGTTCTCTTACAGCGTGCACGTCCAGAGAGTCTACAGTGAGGTCGTACGGGTCCATGTGGAGGCTGTCAAAGACTTCCTTGAGTGTGAGCTTCTTACTGCCTTTTTCCAAGACCACTCGATCTGCTTCAGTCTGGTATGTGGTCTGTATGAATCTCAGCAGATGCTTCTGGTTCATGCAAGCGGCCGCATGTATATGTGTGTCCACCTGTGTTTGACACAAGTCAGACAGTGGCACGGGGCTTACTGGACAACTCACAGCATCCCTATAAAGTGATATTTATTTATACTGAGAGCACTAAAGTTATGAATAGCTTCTGCTCTAAGTGCGTCAGCCCCTCTCCTCTGTCTGGGGCATCGCAGACTGAGCAGAAAGATTTCAGCCAACCTTTCTAACGTTGTAGAAGTCTCTGTGTGGGACTCTTTTCAGCTCTTTTAGCTCCGCCATTTCATTCAGCATTTCATGCAGGTAGAATTTGGAGCCCAGGAAGTTCAGCCGTCTGTGGCAGTAGGATTTTCTGCGAAGCAAAATAACAAACAGTTACGAGTAAAATGTAATAAATGTCATTCGGTATCAGTCAAAAGGTTCGTAATGTCAATCTGTTAGAAATATTGACTAAGCTTTTGCACTCACGTTGGGCCGTCAGCTATCATTGCAAGTACATGGCTCAGGTCTATAGCAAAGGTCTCGAGGTCGGGGTAAGGAAGGCTGTAAGCTTGCTCTTGTTTCAGGGCCTCAGCACTCTCATAAACATGAATTATACCATCCTTTATCTGCAGCTCATAGTTTAGGTCTTCAGGAATACCCTCCATGGAGTATGGGTCCTCCCCTTCACGAGGGTAAGGCCAGATGTCTGCAGATGATGACAGCAGCTCAATCAGAAGTTATTTCACATTTGCAAAAACAGTCACTCTCTGAAGTGTTGGTTGTAAAATAAAGATTCTTAAAGTGTATTTTTCCTTATTTTCTACCAAATACAAATATACTGTTAAATTAATAATTGCTCCTATTGAATACTGGCAATTTTAAATAAGGATGTCAGCCTCATCAAAGAGAGCAAATATCCTTAATGCCTTCATTTCAGCCTCAAAGCCCTGGCCACACACCTGCTATTTAGACCTTCTGTTTATGAGGGAGATCCAATCAGAAGAAAGACTGTGTGAGGGCAGGTAAAGGAGCTAAGATGGCTTGTTTCACACATTGAGATGTACCCAGGGGCTGAGATAAAGAAGTATTGTTTTGAAGTGTGCAAAATCATGCAAAGCTTCTCTGGTGAAGTGTAAGAATACAAAAACAGGAACTGGAAATGAGTCGAATAGACCTCTGACATTTGAATGAAATGATGGCTAGTAGATAATTCCAACAAGTCTTTCTCTTGACTCATTTGAGGTCAGTTTTTTTAGGCTCTGTGTCAGGCATCGCCCAATCAGGTTTGAGCTCTGATATTTCCATGCCTGTATAACCTTCCCAGTGTATTCAGGAAGGGTGAAATTATACAGTATCTTTTATTTATTTTTCACTTAAACCTAAACTTTGGCTTTTAATTATGACTGAGTTTTGTTTTGTTCTCTTTGTGTGTTTGTTTTACTTTTTATTTTGTACAGCAAGTAACAGCAAGTGATTGAACTTAACCTTAAATGTATCAAAATGAGCAAAAATTATAACAAATAGTAAGATAATGTAAGGCCGGTAAACTTTATTACACTGGAGTTATATTTAAGATTGTACATTTTCTTTATCTGTTGTCTGGATTATTCTCAGGTTCTGTTTCTGACGACATTATCTGTTGTCAGAAACAGGCTGACTGACCTTGGCTCACAGACACTTCACACCATCTCTGGCACACATACAGAGAGGTCTTAAATTAGCTCTGCATAGAATAGGTGGCACACAGTAAGTTTTATCTTTATCTCCAATACACAACTAAACATCAAATCATTAGTGAGTTGTTTAAACTGGTCTGAGCACTTTTATTGAATATTGGAGTTGGCATCCTTCGTAAGTTTAATATTGTTTCTGCTCTCTGTGTGAATTGTTTGAGGTTAACGGTGAACTGAAACCTGAACCTTTAATATTAATGGCCTTGCTCCTTTTCCTCTCCATGTCGGAGTATTTCATTGGTTAAACAGCTGAGCTGGTTAAACACATGCACTTGCGCATGTTGTACATAACCTCTTGCTGTGTGTGAGCGAGTAGATGGAAAATTACAAAACGTGCACTTTTGCAGGAAGATTAAATTGGACATTTTTGACACCAAAAAGGAAAAGTTTAGTAAACCTGGCAGGACTTCATCCTCTTCTAGCCACCTCTCATTTTCAGCATTTCGCAGGAACAGGGCTGTGGTCCTTGGAAATCGGTGGTAGGCCAGCCTGGAGTACTTCTCTCGGATGAACAGGGCTTTGAGGAGACCCTTGGTTGCTTGCTCATAGTCCTCAACTGTGATCTGGAAACATTGTGAGGTTGTTAATTTTTGACTTTTGTTTGTGTTTAACGACGGTGTCTTAAAGGTTCAAGATGGCCTTTAAAGAATAATCTATTTAAACTATGGCACCGAGCTAAATGAAGGATCTCTCCTGTTGCCCTGTCAGCTTACAGCCATTAATGAAGTTTTAACAAGAAAAGAACAACTGTCATGTTTTTCTTTTTCTTGTGTGAAAATGACATTTTATAAGTATAGAGTGGATCGACTTTTTAATTCTGGGTAAAAACATGTCTCTCATAGGCCAAACATGCATTTTACCACATCATTGGTCTGAATTTAAAAATCAGTTGTTTTTTATGGTATATTTCCTCACTAGGCTGTGGTCCATCTTTTATATTTCAACATATGGACTAGTCTCGTTGATTACCCCTGCACAGTAATCTCCACTGATGGTAACTCTCTGGAAGTCTGGGAAGGAGTCTGAAAGCAAAGATTCAGCAGTGGCGGGTGTTTGCGCTGGGGTAGGTGTCCAATCAGGAGGCATCTGCAAAGATACCGACTGTGACCGCTTCAACTTGAAACTCTTCTTCCTAGTTACACAGAGGGAAAAGAAGCAAGCACTATTTATGCTGAGTAATTTTTGATGGTTTTATTTGTTCTTTTTTGGCTATCAAGAAAGAGAGACATGTTCAGTTAAGCATGTTTCTAATCCATACCTCTTAACTGACTCCTGAGACTGCTGTTCAGCCATCTCCTTTTGCAGCTCCTTCTCTCTAGTCTCTTTCAGACCAATGGGACAGTCTTCTGGGACAGTGAACAGAGCCAGAGTATCCTTGCTGTCTTCCTCCTTCAGAGCAGAGGCGTACACCTTCTCTGCCATCAGACGAACCCTCTCATCCACCTCGTGTATTGACATTTTTGGGAAAAGGCGTGGTAAATCTGAAAAGTATTGAGAACATTTTTTTAGCAACTACCTGTATTTTTCTTACCAGTAAAAGTAGTGTTTAAAAATGTAATCTAATCATATTTCAGAATGCTTCTGTCATTCCAATGCTGGTCATTATTAGTCGGAGTTATGTCATAATTATGTTTGAAATCTAAAATGGAACAAAATACTGACATGTTATAACTCGTCTCATAAACGGGTTTAAATATGGGAGTGCTTAAAGAAGAAATAACATTATCTTAGTAATGACAGTAAACATAAATACCAGAAACATAACCCGGAGTGAGGACGGTTGGTTGTGGGGCTGTTTTCCAGCTTCTCATTTCAACACACAGACCAGAGAACGTGTCTTGAGTGGTGTTGGAATTAAATAATTTGCAGTGCCTCATTAATGCTATGCTTTTTTATTAATAAGAGTTATAAAGTCATATAGTGTAGTATTGAGTGGACACAGTCCTGAAAAATAAAGGCATTAGATCATGTGTCCTTGGGGAGTAGAAAGCTGTAGACGCTCGCTCACACTTGCCTTGGAAAAAGTAGATAAGAGGGGACCATCTCTAGTGGAAAGTTATTGAGACACTGTTGTTTAGACTAGAATAAGAGAGCTTCTGTAATAAAACTGTTGTGTTATGCAGGACGCATCTCCCTTCTAGAAGTATTGTGAAAGAGAAATAAAGTGTTAAATGGTCTACTTAGCAGTGTTTTGTCTTCCATCGGATGCCTCCGAGGAATCAAAAGAACTCAGTGAAGTGTTGATCGTTGACAGTGGCTAACTCGTGTTTCAGTGCTTGCTGCCAGTGCAACAGGTAAGTTACAGTAAACAAACTTGTGTGTCCAAGTCTGGCCGCGTGTTCTGAGAGCACACCGCACTGAGGACGGTATGTGACAGCAGGAAAAGCAACAACACTGAAAGCTCCTGCTTACACAGTGCACCTCTGTCGGTGCATCGCCGCGTGTTAATTAGATGTGACTGAAGGGCTGTGATGATAAGCAAGATATTTTTCTGTATCATGTTGATGGAACTTGTGAAACCACAGCTGCGTAAACGTTTGCAAAACAAAAATTACATAATGATTCGTGAGGTTGTGTTTATTTATTTTTATTATTTATGGTTGTCATCATCCTTACTGGTATATTGTGACACCAGTAAGGATGTCAAGTTTATTACACTGTACTTATTACATGTTTATTTTGTAATAAGTAATATATAGTCAGCGGGCACTTCATTGGGTTGCACCTCGTTCCAGGTTGGAACAACTTTAACTCTTTGTGACACGCATTCAACAAACTGCTGGAAACATTCCTCAGAGATTTTGGTCCATATTGGCTTCATAGCATTGCACAGCTGCTGTAAATATGGAGGCTACCAATCTGTTCCACCACATCCCAAAGGTTCCCTGTCGGATTGAGGTCCGGGGACTGTGGAGGCCGTTTGAGTGCAATGTGGTCAAGAAATGAGTTTGAGATGATCTGAACTCATGCTGCACTATCCTGCTGCAAGCCACCATCAGAAGATGGTACATTGTAAACTTTACACTGTAATACAGGCATTTAAATGGTCAGCATTTAAACGCATTACTGTTTAAAATGTAGTGTTTCAGTAATGATAAGTGGTGCTACACCATCATGAAAATGTTGTTCCAGGTTCAACATTAATCACATTGTTGTGACGTTATTCCTTTGCGCGCCAAGCCATTTGTGCATTTATGAAATTCCAATGTTGCAAGGAAAATATCAATTCTGCTTACTGTTTATTAAAGGGTTAGGGTTAGGGTTAGGGTCAGGGTCCGTTGATCGGCGGACAGAGGCGGTTTCACGCAGCTTAAGTACAGTTTTTTGTTTTACGCCGGTTTTTCCCGAAGTCGCAAAAGTATGACGTCACAACATTCTGATTGGTCACTTGCAATGCTGATCCTGGAACAACATTTAGTATGATGATCTGGGAACAACACCGACACGAGGATATCAGATCAACCTTCCTGTGGCACCTGGTGTGGTCTTATTTGCTGTTGGCTTCCTATCAGCCTGTAGCAGCCTGGCCATTCCCCTCTGATTTTGCCCAGAGAACTGCCGTTCAAACCATCCTCTGTAAACTCTACAGATATATGTGTGGGAAAATCCCAGAAGAAAAGCGGCTTCAAAAATACTCGCCTGTCTGGCACCAACAAACGTGCCACATTCAAACATGTGGAAAAGCACAGCTGTTGAAGTTTATATTATCATTGCCGCTGCAGTTTGCCCTGGGAAGTCAGTCTTTCCTTATTTTGACATTTACCATGTAATATTATCAGAAGGTTAGTTCAGGCTCATGCAAATATTGATTGGCTTATGTTACATTGTTACAGGTTTGCAAGGGTGTCAGACTTGATACAGGTCTGCTATTGAATGGTAGTCATCAGTAAAGTACATTCAAGAATCTTCAGACAGATATCCTGTATGTAGTTCACAGGATTTTTGCAGGCTTGTAAATGGAAAGGAAATATTTGACCCCGTTGTTAGAGCAGCAGTTATGAGCATGCCATCATTTTGGTTCTCAAGGCTTTTTGGTGGGAAACAGTCAAGTTTATTTGTATTAATCTCATTCTCTCACACATGCATGGCATGCTATTTCTGAACTCAGGACCCCCTGATCTTGTATTTTCAGCAGATGAATGACAGAAGATTGGTTTTATATTTTTTAATAGCTTCTCCCCCTTGTTTAATTCCCACAGTGTGACAGCTACTGTTGCTACCCAACATCCCATCATCAGTCGAGATGTTTGGATATTCTGATCACCGTGTCATCACTGTGGATATTAACGTTGCAGTCCATGGGGGTCACTGGGACACATCCAGAATATATCCGTGTGAGGATACTGGAATCAACAAGCACACGATAGCACATGCAGCTCCAGTGTATCAGATGCCAAACTTTTCAGCTGCACACTGCATCCCTACTGGTTTACACAACACTCTGTCTGAAACCTGTGAGTGATCTGGAATTCTTCACAGATGATACCGTTAACATTTGCCCTTACACTGACATGCTTGCTGCCTGTTCCTTGGCTAGCACATTTTGGGAGCTGCTGTTTCTGATGAGCCTTTCAGCACGTGTACTCTCTCCCTGCTGGAACAGCTCAACAGTCTCTTGGATGACCTTGATGTATTACACACCCCAGTTATAAAAACCTAACATTCACAAAGCCTCTGACTATGTTGGAAACGTCAATTAAACTGAAATTCTGAAATATTATGATAAAATTTCAATTTTGGAATGATTTTTAAGTTTTCAGTGTGTAACACAAAAAGAAAAAAAAAATCAATAAAATGTGCCAGTATTTCATAATACTCACTTATAGTATATATAAATATCCACCTGTTTCCTCAGCTAAAGACTGCTGCACTTATAGCATCGCTCAGAAAGTCAAATCTAGCTGCTTCTGTGCCTCGGGCAGTAGCCACTGAATAAACATCTTTGAAACTCTTCTTTGAAATTACTCTTTGAATAGTTGTCATCACATTTCATAGTTGTTTTTTTTAATAGAAACATAAAATCAGTAGGGGTAGCACTATCTGTCTCTTACCTTCTGTCGTGATTTGGGCCATGTTTGGCTCTTTCAGTCTCTGCCTGTTGAGTCAGGTATTTCAGCTTTCACGTATCTGGTTCTGTCTCTTGTGGACCCCTTACCTCTTAGCTTTGGCACTGCCACTTCTACAGGTATGGCACTCAGTGGCAGGACTTACAAAACATCTGAGTGCTGCTGACACAACACCTATGTAAACTGTCCTGAGTTCTGGTGACTGTATATTGCTCGTGTCTGTGATGCTTCTCTTCAGGGTTTTCTCTCTGACTGACTCTGTCGGGCTTTGCTCTGTTTATTTGGTCCACTGCCTGTATGTATGATGCAGCTGCTAGTTGTTGTTGTTGTATTGAGTGTCCTTCTATCTCTATTTTAGGGTATTGAGCGCGTCGGGGTAACATGGGGTGCTAATCTAAGCTGGTATGTCACAACTGGCTGCTAACATGTGAGCTCTGATCTGTGATATGGGGCAGTAGGGCAAAAAGTAAGTACTGGCAGCTACAGTCACTGTGTTTACCATGTAAACACTAAAGTAAGGGGGAAAAGCCATCAAACCTAGCTGGCCCTGTAGGAAAAAGTAATGGTCTCCTCTTGCTAAATTATTAATTAACTGTGAGTAACAGACTTCTTGGAAAACTGAGTTCATTTTTACGAGCCACACCCAGGCGTGACAACAGCCAGACCTGCTGAACCAACAAATCAATTATAGAGGTATGTTAGCAGGCTAGAGACCTCAAATTTAAAGAAACTCAAGAACAAACGAGAAACAGAATGACTGGCATCTATCAGTCCAGAAAGGGTTACAAAGCAATTTCGAAGGTTTTGGGACTCTAGCGTACCACAGTGAAAGCCATTATCCACAAATGGAGAACACCTGGAACAGTGGTGAAGCTTCCCAGGAGTGGTCAGCCTACCAGAACTGCTCCAAGAGTGCATCGACAACTCATCCAGGTGGCCACAAAAGATCCCAGAACAACATCCAAAAAACTGCGGGCCTCACTTTCCTCAGTTAAGATTTGAGTTCATGATTCAATAATAAGAAATTGGGAGAAAGAAAGAAAGAGTTCCAGGTGAAAACCACTGCTGACCAAAAAAAGCTCATCTCACATTTACCAAAAGAGGCCTTTTAGGTATTTTAAGACAAGATATTCTGTGGATTAATGTGAACATCGTTCCCACGGTCAAGTTGTTGTGGTAGTGTCATCTGGACTTGTTTCCTACTTTAGGACCTGGAGCTCAGCTGAAGCACTTGGGTTATTGTGACGTGAATAAGGCACGGCGGGACCACAGGTTGTTGCTTTGAGCCATTTTTATTTGCTCACAGGCTGCCATCCGCACATGCAACACACCACAAAAATCCACCAGCAACTGAGTCCCCGTGTTTTAACAGGCGGGCGTGATTACGTATGCCGTGCAGGTGAGTCCCCTCTGCCGCCGCCGCCGCCGACCACGCCTCACCAGAGTTATGCAGCCAGACAATGATCCAAAACACACCAAGTAGTCCCTTTTACATACTATTAGAGATCATTCATAAAAGCATTTGTGTAGCAAAGAATCTGAAGAACACGAGTATGAACTTTACTGCAAGTAAAAGGAAGCACATTGCTGGTAACAGTCCATCTTTGTATGCAAATTATTTAGTGGTTTGGTTAGTTGGAATCATCTGTTCACTGCCCTCACTTTTATCACACCTATAAGGAGCGTGCACTGTTCAAAAAAGCCACTCAAGGTTGCAGACAGTTTAACTTTAAGTGGTGTGTGAACAGATGCGTGATAAACCGTGTAATAGCTGCATTTGAATACGTGGGAGTGAGACGAATGCCTGTGTTTAGTGAGATCGCTGTTTGTTGTGCTTTTGTATATTATGTTTGTCCTGCATGGTTTTATTTACTCACCCTTTCCCATGCATGGTGTCGACTGTTGCTTCAAAAGGGCCATGTTGATTTTCTTACTCATTTTGAGTTGATCTAGAAGAAACAAAGCTTTAATAAATAACACTGCACACATATGTTGTTCAGTAAGGCAGCATTTACTCAAACTTGACAATGGTTAAAGGTGTCATTTAATGGCTCCTAGCAAAGCAGTACAGCCTTATCTCGCATCACAATCTCTTCTTCCTTACCTTTGTTTGCTTGAGTGACGGTCACACCCAAAGTCACACCCCGAGGACCATGATTTTACACAACTTTGACTTGACTGTTTGAGTTATCGTAGTTTTTGAAATGCTCGTGCATTATGCTCAGATTTAACTTGGAATTTGTTGAAAGGAAGTCAGTGAACTGGAAAGTGGGGAGGTTTGCGTCAGGAAGGACAAAAAGTCTGTGACAAGTCAAACATGGAGATCATCAAGAATGAGATTTCCATACCGGAGCGTCTCTGGTACTGTTAGCGGACAGGGTGACGGTGCACACTGTGCTGCTGTTGGCCAATGTGGCAACCCATAAAGGCAGGAGCCAAAAGAAGAAGTTGAAATGCATTACTTGTATTTGGAGTGTTCACATTATGTTAAAAAGAGGAAAGTTTTAGGGATCATCAGACAATATTTAAGCTCCCATTTTTGTTTAGCTTTGGTTTGGTTTTATATGAGCAGTTAGTTTTGTTTATTACTTTGTTATTTTATGTTGCCATCATAAATTGAATGTAGCTGTTTACTTGACATATTTTAAGGGACTGGAACTCTAATTTGACTTTTGTAAAATGAAGTATTTTGTGTTTTGGGCAAAACGTTTTGTTTGCATTGAACAACTGTCATTTCAGTAAATTGCTGACAAAAACTGCTCTAACCAGTATGGCCATTGTTGGGACACCTTTGGGAGTGTCTTGTGCTGTGTGGAACCAAAATGAAGGAGGTGGATCCTTAATGCCTTTAGATTTGACTTGATAGAGTTCGTGATTGCTTGATCAGATTGGAATCTGGGAAGTTTGGAGGCCAAATTAATGTCTTTGGCTGTTGTGTTTCACAAGCTTTTTTTTTAATGTTTTCTTAGTTTAGGGTTTATAATCCTATGTATACATTACACAACATTACATTACATTACACACAGCTTTGCGTGTCTCAAAGTTCTATACCAGCATGCAGTGTCAGTGTTGTCACAACATCCATGTGAAAAGTCATGTAGTCATTTTTTAGTATAAATTTTCCATTTACATTCATTTTAAACATGAACAATAGAATTAAAAAATATCCACATAATGCATTAGCAGTTAAAGACTGAAAAGAGCTCATTTCAGAAACATTTCTTTCCTGGTATGTGCAGACAGTTGCTGAGCATCAGATGCGAGTGCTGATTCTATAACACATTTTAACTACTTAACTATGTGTTGAAGTGTAACTTTAAAAAAAAATTTTTTATTTCTCTATCACCAGTTCACACTCGTTATGAGAACTCCTTTTATAATTTCAGATTAAAGGCTACAGCTCAACTATCTAGCAGTTTTCTATGAAGAAGTATTTGGTGCCAGAAGGTAAAAAAAAGAAGTCATTTGTAACAGGAAGTGACATCTAATAGACCAGGCTCAGATATTCACAATGCCAACATGACTGAATCCTGTCAGCTGCCATTAGGTGTTATCCAAGTGTTGTAGCGGATTATACTTAAGGAGGTAGTCGTTTTTAGCTGTCTAGAAGAATTTGTCTAAAAAAATACAAAAATAATTGAATCATTAACAAATTACCTGATTGAAAGAACATGGATGAATAAAATCTGTCTGATATTCCAGATCTCACATAAAAGCTCAAGTTGTCACAAGCTAAAAGTAGCAATCATGTGGCTTCACAGTGGCTGCTCTCTGCCCAGCCTGGAGGTCACTGCAAACTCTCAGTACCTCAGCAGAGCTGGCAATATCATCAAGGACCACTCTCACCCCAGCAACCAACTGTTTGAACTATTACCGTCAGGCCGACGGTACAGGTCACATAAAACCAGGACAAACAGATTCAGGGATAGCTTCTTTCCCAGAGCTACCACCGTAGTAAATAAGCACAAAAACAATTGAACCTATTCCATACCGTCACTGTCATTATATTATGCTGCTATCCTGTATATATTGTACATACTATTGTTTGAGTACTTACGATTGTTTTTTTGTTCTTTTTATATTTTACATTATATTTATTATTGAAACTTACACCAAGGGAGTGGCACTCCAATTTCGTTGTACTCTGTACAATGACAATAAAGGCTATTCTATTCTATTCTATTCTATTCTATTCTATTCTATTCTATTCTATTCTATTCTATTATGCTGCTTTGTTGGTGTAAATAGCCCAGAGAAAACAACAGCAAACCAGTGCAAAAACTCCAAAGGTATGTGCAAACTAAGCATTTCAAAGGAGATTCTGACAACTTGGTACTTGTGGGAAACTTGTCGTTGCCACAGTGTCTTCTTTGATGTGCATGAACTGTTCAAGCACGCACCATGTGCCATGCATAAACTCATCAGTGTCATTTGACTAGATCTGTATCACGGGTTCGTGTCTTTCTAGGGTGTAACGCTGTCTTGTATTTATTCCTCTACAACAGAGGAAACCGAATGAATACCACCCAGTCCTATTTTTAAGGCAATTAGTCGGCATCTAGTTTTGTTTGGGATTTTTCCATTTTTATTTTTTTTTTGTATTAATTAACTAAGACACATGTTGGCACCTGTTGGGAAATGTGTGGCCTCCGTACTTGATCAGGCTTGTTTTGGACTGTGTTGTAAAGAGAGCAAGAATACATCCACAGACATGCTGTGAATTCAACATTAGGAGCAAAGTTTCAGAATAAAAGGAAAAAGAAACATTTTGATGTCAGGCAGCAGTGTTAACCACAGCTAACTGTTGCCTTAAAAAAGTTTGACTGTGCCTTAAGATTGCAGTTTAAGATATATCATTTATTTTGTTTTAATACCTACAGATGCTCACTCCTTTGGAAGCCAAAAAAGAAAAAAGAAAAAGAAATAGAAATATGCACGTTCATATTAAGATCTTTAATCTATATGCAAACTATATCTAGGTATGTCTGCCAGAGCTCACCATGCAAAGGAGGTAAGTGCTAAAAGCAATGCTGGTGTGTTGATAATGACATAAAGTTAATATAAACAATGGAAACACAAAGAATCATTATGACTGCCGTGTACTTACTGTTGGCAGGGCTTTGCACAAAGCTAAAACGTCCTGGGACTGTAGAGAGCGTTGTCAGGTGTCAGCAGACTGAAGCGTGGTCAGTGCAGGTTCCAGCAGACACCGGGCTGGTTCGGGCTGTCACTGCCGGGTTGAAGTATGAAGGAGGTACAAAGTTGGTGTGGCAAACAAGGAAGTAATCTGCATCAGTGTTGTTTGGCAGTAGAGGAAGTGCAGGAGGAAGCGTTTGTATGAACAAGCAGTTCTGTGTCACTTTTTTTAAAAGCCTTGAGACTTCATAAGCCCCACCCCTCTTTGTCAACTTGAGTTGTATGTGTAATTCACTGGGCTGGCGACAAGTCACCGTCTCCTTTTAGGGTATTTGATTAGAGAAAGTGTGTGTGTGTGTGTGTGTGTGTGTGTGTGTGTGTGTGTGTGTGTGTGTGTGTGTGTGTGTGTGTGCAAATATAAACAAACATGGGGAAGTGACTTTTTTTCTATAAAAGGACTGCTTTCTCCACCACTTTGAAAAGAGAAGAAAATTTTGACGTTTTTTTTTTTTTTTTTCTTATTTAAGGTTCCTGTGACCAAGGTCAAGATGTTTGATCCTGACCTGCTCAACAGAGCACTGATATAGAAGGACCCTGATTTAGAAATGGTGGTTGTGGTGGTGGTGATGGTGGTGGTGGTGTGTGTGTGTGTGTGTGTGTGTGTGTGTGTGTGTGTGTGTGTGTGTGTGTGTGTGTGTGTGTGTGTAGCATACCGCTGCTACACACGTCTGAAATACTAGTAAACTGGTCCTGAGTATGCTCAGCATAAGGTAATGCTACTGTAATGCTTGCAACACCACCATCTGGACAGCGACGGAAAGTTCATTCTCCTCGGTTGGCTAGATACTTTTTTTTTAAAGCCCTATACTCCTTTGTGTATTCATGATACTTCTTCTTTATGGTCCAATGCTGCTGTAGCATACAGTGCCACAGCAGCTGCGCATTCAGCAGGTGGACAGGTCAAACTGGTGAAACTTCAAATTTAGGGTGACTCTAAATTTATAAAATGTTGATATTACTTTAACATTGGTGCACTGCAGTTTGTTATTTTTTATTAGCAGTGTTGAGCAACTTACTTTGATAAAGTAATTAGCCCTTTCACGCATAGTGGTCACTACAGTGGACAGCTATGCTGTTTTCTTGTATTGGTGTCAGTGCTGATGGTATACTTGCACATAAACAACTACAATGGACACTGATGTGTCACTCCATACCCTGCCGCCCACTGGTGGTTTAATGTGCCTATAGATGTATGACGTGTTCCATTGTAATTATTGTTATTTAACCCTGTCATGAATAAATTATGACAACCACAATCAGGATTTTTTTTCTTAAGTATTTTTATTCATCTTTTCATGCCTAAAGATGAATAAAAATACTTAAGAAAAAAATCCTGATTGAGGTTGTCATAATTTATTCATGACAACCTCAATCAGGATTGAGGATTTTGCCACTTCAAACAATAATTTCTGTCCACTATAAGATAAATGAAACATCATAAGCCTGATACCTGCAGACCTGAAAGCAGGAGGTGTATCACTTTCGAGCGCTCTCCTTAGAAAACGCTGTTTTTACAGTTTCTTCCTGCAGTAAAAGGATAGTATTCAGGAAAAACATTATGTACATTTTTAGCATAACTGGTTTTACATAGCTTATCAACACAATTTAAAAACTGATATAAAGTTTGAAGTCCGAACTTTTAACACAAAAGTGGAGACTCGGGGTTGTCTTGTGTTGACATAGCATCATGTTGCCCATCTGTTAATAGCTTGTAGACCCACCTTTAGCACAAATAAGCTGAAGTAATAATTTTCTGTATGACATATCAGTCTCTCAGATTGTTGTGGAGAAAACTTGGTTCACTCATCTTTTCAGCGTTGCTTCACTTCATTCACATTTGCAGACATGCGTTCATGCACTTAAGGTCCCAGTCCAGTTTATTATCTATGTGTTCTCCAAGGTATTTATGATCAATTTTTCGGTCTTTATCACGTTGCGCTGCAGATGATTCTGCTCACACCATGTGACAAATGGGTCAACCACAGCCCGGTACTCTGACTCATCACCCTCACTGATGCATCCAACCACTGCAGAGTAATCAGAAAACTTCTGAAGATGGCAGGTCTCTGTGTAGTGGCTGAAGTCTGTGGTGTAGAGCAGCGGTCCCCAACCCCCGGGCCTCGGACTGGTTCCGGTCCGTGAGTCATTTGGTACCGGGCCGCGAGAGTTGAGGCTCAGGTGTGAAATGTCTGGTTTTCAGGGGTTTTATTGGTTTTAAGCGTTATTTTGTTATCGTTTTTATCGTTTACTCGGTTTTCCTTGGTCTTTTCACGTGTGTTATGAATAAACCTTCTTTTTTTCGGTACCAGTTCTAGTTTTATTTTGTTGTATTTATCCGCGACACCTTAAAGGCCGGTCCGTGAAAATACTGTCGGGCATAAACCGGTCCATGGCGCAAAAAAGGTTGGGGACCGCTGGTGTAGAGGGTGAAGAGGAAAGGAGAGGACAGTACCTTGTGGTGGCCTCGTGTTGCTGATCACCTTGTCAGACACACACAATGTTGAAGACACATATTGTGGTCTTCCTGTCAGGTAATCAATAATCCAGGTCACAAGAGAGGTATCTACTTGCATTCCTGTCAGCTTATGACCCAGGAGGGTTAGCCTGATGGTATTGTATGCACTAGAAAAGTCGAGTGTCCTGATGCATGCTCTATCTTCCAGATAAGGAAATCCCCCAAAATGTATTCTGTTCATCTGGATGTAGTGTTTTCAGTGGGAGAAACAGTACATGTGCATAATGACTCAAACTAGCATAAATGCAGAGTCCTGGCCTGACGAGATGTCATAACACAGAAGAGCTAACTCATCAGGCCAGGACTCCGCAGTCTGTCTACACCTACAGGCCAGGGCCACTCATTCAGTGATGAGGATGTATATACCCTGGACAGGGAGGAATGCTGGTTTGAGCGGAGAGTCAAGGAGGCCATTTACGTGAAAAGGGAAAGACATCTTTCACCATCTTACAATGCTCTGACTGCAGCCATTCCCCAACTCTGTAAGTAGTACTCGTGAAAATGTGCATATTAATGATCAAAGAACTGACCTCACAGCCCAATGTTCCTTCAGTGGGCTGGTTTCAGTCATCGTGCAAAGGTAGTGTTTATAAGATTGGGGAAACCTGCAGTCAGCTGAGACTGAGGAAGTCACTTGGATGAGTAACGTTTTAACGTATTAACATGTACCTCAATGCTCCACAGCAAACTGACGGCATGTCTGTGTTTTTATTGAGGCACTCAAACTTGCTGTTGATCAGTTAATTTGGTGCACTTGATTAACAGCACCTGGTTGTTACCTAAGCTTTTAATTCCTATGGTAGCAGCTTAGTTTTGCATACACAGCTTCTGCAATTTGGCTTTTACTGTATGTCCTGATATGTAAATCCTTAGAAATGAAAGGGTGTACTTTGACCATGCTGCGAGATCGATCAACTTTAGACCAGACAACAAACGACGGAGGCTCCAGAAAAGTGCAATCAAATGATGAGTTTTATTATCACAGGAGAACAACCAACCGTCAGCATACGGATTGTTTTGCTCTGACAAGAATACATTGGGTTCTGGTTTTATAGGATAAAATATCACACCTACGTCAATACAGTTCAAAAATACATGGTGACAGACGGGCAAAAGTTCAACCCGTGCAGACAAGGGTATATCACGTACACTTCTAATAACCATAAACCGACATATAACTTCCCTTTTCTACATTACTTGGCTTTTAGGGTAATAACTTTAGGTCTCAGCATCTCTGAGAGCTACTAATGGACCCTCGTCATTAATCACTAAGTAGAGTACTTTGCAGCCAGTCTCAAACTGAAGCAGAAGACGCTTAGGCCTTCGCTCAGACCTGCTACTAGATTAATATGTGTATCGTAAGCGTGCATGCAATTAACCTGCTATGTTCTCATCTCCCCTCAGCATGTATCATCTGGACACTCTCACCAGTGAAGCTTAAAACCTTCTAGAATGGAACATCAACTCTAACCAAGCACATTCATGCATTGTGTATAGAATGAACTCAACCTGTAAAAATAGAAAGGTCAATGTGATGACAGACATATTCAATGCAATATAAACCCTGTAGGAAATATTACTGATAAATGATACTGTGAAACATGTTATTAATACATTCTTCATAAGGCAAATTATATGGTAGCAATAAAAGAATCTCTGAATCCCAACAACCATTTTCAAGATACTGCACATGCAATATGTTGATGAACCACTCCAACATCTTTATTTTGTGGACTGATAGTTCTTTACTGGACTTGACAAGAGGAAGAAAACTTCACATGTCTGTGTGCCATTTGTTCATTACTTGCACATTAAATAACACAGGCAACAGCAATGGGTGAAATATGAGCTTTTTATAATTGAATATTTCAAATGTTTGTAGGATTCTTTGCAAACAAACCCATAGCAAAGCCAGAGACCATCGTAGCATTTAATCCTCCTAGAGGGGAAGTTGATTTTTTTATGTCAAATTTATGTCATTTATGTCAAATCTGTTTATCATTTCAGGGCACTGTGACCACTCAGCATACAGGGAGGTGCGTGTGCGTGTGTGTGTGGGTTGGGTGGGGGGTCACATTCCACAGTGATTATATCTTTCTAGCCCTCATGTAAGTGTTTCTAATATATAAAAGAGCACACCACTCTCCTCTCCATTAAGCAGAACTTGGACTGTCACGTTTGTGCCAAAACGTAATTTATTGTCCCGAGAGGTCGAACTTACTCAATCCGAGCAACATGTTTACCCAATACAAATGTAATTTTAGTACATGTGTTTCTTGAGACAGTGCAGGTGATGAGTAGTGCTATTTTTAGAATGGAATGTAAACCACTGGGTCACATATTTTGCTCTCAATATGACTCAGAGTTTAATTTTATTAAACAGCACACGCAATCCTTAAATGACAAGGGACACGCCATGTATTTCCCCCTAACACGAACGCACACACACGCACACACAGACACACACAAGGTAAATAATTGATGTGGATCACAGAAGAAAGGTTTCTTCAAGTTTATTTTATTGTTTTATTTGTTCATTTATTACTGAAAATTATTACAGTTCCTGGTATTCGAAGCAAGACATTAATCTGGTTCAGTAATACCTTTTCAAGTAATTTCAGCTGAATTGTGAGCAAATGATTATGATTTATAACATTCAAATATAGGAGGCGATAAACCTTTAACACACCAAAGTAGATGCTTTGAAATGGCTTGGCCTGCATTTGTTACACATAAGCCTGCTGCAAAGCTAGATGGCAGCACAGCACTTTCATCAGCTCATCAATCCTTCTCCTTCCCTTTAAGTGAAAGCTCAGCCCCAAACTAAAAGGCCTGCTTTGCTTCAGGTGCAGATAAATATGCATAAGACATGTTAAATATGCGTAAGTTCCAAAAAGGTGTAATCAAGTGAAGGCAAATGGTACAACTCATTGTTTAGATACATACATAGAAATAAAAAAGCAAAACAAAAAAATTGACACATTTCAGATACATCAGATACTTCACTGAAGTTAAACTAAAGATGTTTAATATGTAGTTTTGTTGTTGGAAATTATAGTTGCATACATTATAAGGTAGTCTTTCATATTTTAACATATAAGGTACATATTTTATATGTTTATCTATATATAAAAATTGTAGCTAACAAGCAATTCGATACATTCAGTTCAGTTTTGTGAGGATTCTGCATTTGATAGTTTGGGGCCCAGTAATGCTGATTCCTTGAAGAAAAAGTAAAATAAAAAGGCTCCCTTGTTGCAGAATGTGTTCCTCCAAGCTTTGTGTTTCGGAGAAGATCCACATGAATTGTCTTCTGTCTCAGCTGCCAAGCTCGCTTTGGATGCTGAAGAAGAGACAGACATTCTTGTCAAGTCCCATAGGTCTGGCTTGAATTCATCAATAAATCAAACACTTGTTCAGAGACACTGAAACCTGAACCTAAGCATGTGCACACAAACGTCTCAGTTTGATTTATTTCAATCTTCCTTTCATCCAGAGTGGTTTGAGCTTCCTCCGATGGGCTGTGCAGATGTAGCAGCCAGTCTTTCGCTATATCTAGCGCCGAATCTGTGGAATAAAAGTTCTGCGTGGACTAATCTTCATCTGCAGTGCTCACATAACCCCAACAGGGACTCTCCTTTGCTTTCTCATGCCTGCCCTAGGCCACCGTGTGGGTGCTTTTGGGGTTGCTGACTCGCTGACCAGTTTCCGTGCTCCATCTATGCGTTCCTGTCTCGAGGACGAGCTGAGTGGCATCCAGAAGTGAGCGGCGGCGACGTCCAAAGCCACCCGGTCCCATCTTTGATTTAGGAGCAGTGGTGTCTGTTTGAGCGTTCTTCTTTGTCAGGCTCAATCGGTAGAACAAGTCGTGGTATATACATGTGATTAGAAGGCAACCAGACTGACTTGACGTTGACCTCCTGGACCTTATATTTGGGCCAAAGCTGGAAAAAAGGGGAAGATTTACTGCTTTAGAGGTGCTGTTAAGTCTAGCTTGGCAACACATAATATGTTCACAGTGTGTAAAATCCAAAATGTTTCATATCTAGATTTTTGCATGTTTTATCCAGTAGAGAATGGATCATTTTCAGACTTCATTTGTAGCGTCTTGAACAAAAATAGATGCTTCAAAATTCTGAATTTTAACACTTTTAAAATTTGAATACCTCTCATAAATGCCATGGGGGTATTCTAAGTAGGAAAATAACTAGGAGCACACTGAATGACTATGTGACTCTAGGTCACCAATCCAATGTTTCTTGTTACCTTGATGGGGTTGGGAGAGTTTTGGCAAGCCTGTCCTGCTGCGGTCCACCAAAATGTTGGTCATCGCCTGTCACTAAGCGACTGCGCAAGTCTCTCTTCATATGGCTCTGCAGCCATACTCTAGACCTGCCACAAAGATCAAATAGGTAGTTAACCACAAAACTTCAACTCTGTCACATTATCACTGATGTTAAGTGATATATATATATATAGCACTTTTCTACTCTACTCAACCACTCAAAGCACTTTATACAATCTAAATATGTTCATACACACGTACATGTAGTGAGTAAAAGGAAATTGCAATGAATAAATGTCAAAGACATTCAGAGACAGTGTCCACTGAAGACACTACAACTTTGCCCATTATGAAATGTAGTGCTGATGTAGCTATACTATATTCGAGTAAAAAAAACAAACATATATCTATCATTATTGGCTTAATAATCCCTTATGTCAAGAAAAAACTAAAATTCAGAATCTACTTGGCATAAAAGTTCCTTGTGTTACCAACAGTGGGCATCTTATTCTACTAGATGAATGTAGAATGAACACAATGTTCTGAGAGCTTACCTTTTTCTCAGGCTGGCGTTGGTCTCTCCTGTGGCGCCTTTTACCAATGGCAGGACTGTGGTGAAAACACAGCAGCAGATGATGGTGTGCAGAGATAATCTCATGTTGGCTGGGAGCTGCCAATGGTAAACAGACAGAAATGGCACTGAAGCGGTCATGCCTTATCTATTACCACAACATCTGAGCGATGAAGCTCTTTTAGACACATTATTGCAGTAACATGTAGAGTTTTCTGCACAGAACAGCATAAGTAAATAAAATATTTTCTTCCAGTGATTCAGAATTTTTTCACCAATTTTGCAGAATTTAAATTCTTTACAAAACTTACTCAAATAGAAATCAGCGACAAATTCACTTACCTCTGGCTCTAGTTTGTGTTGTGATGTACAAAATTAATGGTGCACATCCAAGTTTGTTCTTTACTACTTTAGCTGTGTGGTTTTTTTGTTGTTGTTTTTTGGTGAAAGCTGTAAAGACTTTACCATGAGTTGAAGTCTGAAGTTTATGCTGCTAACATGAGAGGCTTTATAGTAGAAGGGAGGGAGTTGTACCTGAATGCCATACCCAGTGGGAGGGACTGTGGGACAGTTCATGTCAACCCCATCCACCCCACATGTACAGTCAGTCAGACCAAAAACACGTAGATAGAGACTATAATCAACACAGCAGTCCGCAAATAGCGTGACTAATAGATACTTACATAATTCTGATTTATTACTCCACCCCCCACCTCTCTCTTTGAGAAAGTGTTGAAAGAATTTTTTGCATTTCAGGGGTTTTGCAAATTAACCTAACTACATTGCTTCTCTCTGTCAAAGGTTTGTATTTGATTGTGTAAATGGAAGACTTGTTTGCAAGTCCATTTACATATTTTTGGTCTTTTCTTTCAGCAACTGTGAAGGAATCGGTTGTTTAGAGGGGTTAACAGAGGACACTCTGTGGTCTTGCATGCTTTAAGGCAGTTATTTTGGGTTTAAATGTGTTAATAACTGAAATAAATTGAAATGTGTGTGTTGGATGACTCCGTTTGAGTGTTAGCGAGCCATCTGTTAGTTTTAAATAGCTGCAAAAAGCTAACCATGTGTAAATTAGCGCTGTGCTGTTATGGCAACCGCATGCAGTGTGGCAATTTAGGAAAGAAGAGTGTGCTTTTGTGCACTTTCAAGTGATCTCTTAAATCGTTCAAAGTGCTGCTCTCAATCACTGGTAGCTGCTTGCAGGCATCCTAATTAACGAAGTGTATAAAGGTTAAACATGTTTTTCGATCTCTGTCCGCTACAGCTAACGTTTTCAGATATTTAAGAGGCCGATCTTTGCATCAAAACTGCAAATTACCAAAATAAAGAAAAAAAAACTTGGTTAGGCCTCCAGATTGGGGATGTAGCTGCCAGGCATGTACTCTATGTTGAATGATCAGAAACCGTAAAATGCTTCATTAATTAGCGGTGCAATGTGAAAAAATGATACGAGCTAACGGCTAAGGTTAGCTATTAAATTTATTATTTAATTTACTACAATATTAAACTTAAAATCAGCTCGACTTGACTCGATGTTACATATCACAACCCACACCATGCTTCTATGGATATGATCTATTTCTGATTGCAGTGCATTTCTACAACACGCACTATTTTTAACACAAGCCAAAGTCCAGGAAAAGGGAGTTCACTCCCTTCCACAGAAAATACTGCCCATAAACTGCCTTACACGTCTTTTTGGCAGCCTGTCCTTTTCTTCCATGTAAAACATTTGAGTAATGATCTCTTTAGTGGCTAGTTTGGAGCATCCTTAAAAAAAAGAATGAGTAACTGCCTCACAGTGCGCCAATTTTACATCCTTGAAAGAACCGATTCTGTTAACTCAACTATAAATGCCTTCGCCACAAGCAAAGTAGGCCAGATGTTCAGTTGTTTGATGGGCCTTTATATCCCCACAGTAATTTTTTTTTTTTAAAAAGTACAGTGCGTAGCTAATGGCACTGTAGGTTTTGGTGGTGTGCTCCCAGGCTGGAGAAACGCGATGTTAAAAACTGTGGAAATGTCAAGATTTGAAGCCAATAAACACGGACTGTGTGTAGATTACTGTTTATTTTCTCTCTAAGCTGAGCTGCCTTTTTGTTGGCACACTCTGATGGTGTAAATACTTAAATAAATTATCGCAATACAAGTAGTATTGAAAATTGTAAAGCCAATGCATGAACGCATGCATCTGTCTTTCTTCTGGGTCCAATTGTGGTTCCGACTATGTGTTGTATGTACACAGGCTTATTACCCGCAGAAACTGAAACTGCACCTCCTGTGGTCGTGGCAACAACAGGCTTAAAAAGAAGGTGTGGTAAAATGAATCATCTGTGCTGTGTTCTAGAGGCCTTGTTCCTGTATCCCCCATAGAAGTTTATCGTCTTTGCTGTTGCTTGTGTTTCAACAGCTGCATATATTGTGCTAACCTGAAACTTGCTGTGGCGGGTTAAGAGCGATGGGTGTAGAAGTTTTCTTGTTTCTAAATACAACATGTAAAGATCAAGCCTAAGATTATTATATCTAGGGTAGGCGTACAGTATCTTATTTTTCTTTTCTACTTATTTTTAAAACCCATATACAGTATGTGAGGATTTTACAAATAAACTGACATTAGTGTGGAAGGACAGATGTTCTAATAAATGGGACAGCAAATAATGGTAAGAGAATGTTATTCCAACTCCAGCTCTTACACTAACTCCTGTGGGGCCAAAGTTGATTTTGTTCTTCTGGATGTAACGTTTTCAGTGGGAGAAACGTTTCGTCGCTCATCCAAGTGACTTAGTGGAGACTGAAGAAGTCAGTTGGATGAGTGACAAAACATTTCTTCCACTGAAAATGCCTCGTCCAGAATCAACTTTTGGGGTTTTACAAAAAAAAAAAGGTACAATTCTAAAAATGAAAGTGTCAGGGGAGCTTTCCACTGGAGTAGACAGTTTGTGCTTCATAGCTATCTACCAAACAGTTTGCGCCGGAACTCAAAATAAATGCTGCGTTTTAATTTTTCCCACAGCAGTTTATGATATATGTTTTTGGTGAAACGCTGCCCTTTAGTGGTGAATTTTATTTAGTTGAAATTTGCATTGGGTAATTGCAAAAAGTACCTTTTTATAGAGAAAGTTAGGAGATATAATTTCTAAATTCCCTAGTATAATATAATACTGCAATACTACCCTACTAAAAGCTATAGCACAGTACTAAACAAATATTCAACAGTGACTCTGTTTAATAAACTATGACAAACAAGCTTCTTTTAAAAGCAGTGAAGACATTTTCTATTTTCTCTGCGTCTTTTGATGAACTGTATTAGTAGTAGTAGATTAAAAGTTCTTCCCAGTTTGTTCATAATATCTTGCCTTCAACATGTATTGACCTGCAAGCAGCTGATGTAACTTTTTAGAAGCTCAGTACCGCTGTCAGGTGTCAGCTTTGTGGTCTATCGGAGTTTAGATGCCAAGAATACATGTACACAGTGGTGTCATGGCAACGCCACTGCAGCTTTCATGGGCCAAAAGATGAGTCAGTGATCTGTTTCAACGTGATCCCTTCCCGTTCTTAAATTAGTTGTACTTTATTTGCTTTGCAAGCTGTTGGCGCATTTCCTGCTGCAGAATTTCCAAAACAAAGTGTACTAATCCAAATCAGTTTGTTGTTGTTGTTGTTGTTGTTGTTGTTGTTGTTGTTGTTGTTGTTCATTAATACATTTTGACAAGTTCAAAGACAGTGTAGTGTTTGGTTTGGAGACGGGTGAATCTGATACACTTCCACAGCCAAGGGTCAGTAGAACACAGTGTGAGCTCACTTTTGGCAGACATCCATTATGTGATATTCATGGTCTATTCATAGTTACTTATTTCACTCTGTTTTTATTACTACTGAGATAAAAGGGCAGGCACTGTAGGAATTTTATTAACTCTTTATTTGCTCTGGTATGCAATAGCCTTCTTCCTGGAATTGTGCTTTCCTAAATGTGGGGCCCTTACATTCCTTTTTGTTCCTTTCCAACAAACAGAAAGTTATTATATGAGGGTTTTTTCTGTTTGGAAAACAGACACGCAGATTACACAGATTACAATCAATCAATCAGTTATAGATACTTTCAACTTGTTATGTGTCTAAAACACACCTGTCCACAAATCCATATCTTCCATTTCATTTTTTGTTTTGTTTTTTCAGTAGCATTTAATGACTTATTTTTCCAGTTTTTTGTCTGCCTAGCCAATAAAGCAAGAAAAAAAAAACAAGCTACATTAATGGATAATGTAGCTTGGTTCATTTCAAATCACCTCACCTGGCACTTTGTTATGTATCCCTGTTCAACTTTTAGTTAACATGAGTATTGATTTAGGTCGCTCCTAAAGTGACGGGTTGGTCTGAGTGTTACTGAATCTACTGGGATTTTCCCCACATAAGCATCTATAACGGCCTGGAAGAAGAGACAATATGATGCCAGAGATGATATGAGAGTGTTCAGAGGGCCACGACCTGATAGATTGGTGAAATTAACCCAAACAATCAATCATTACAAACAAAATATGCAGAAGAGCACCTCTTCTCTTAAATTAGACGATGGGCTACAGCAGCAGAAGACCAACCCTTTCAGCTAAAAACAGGAAACTGAGGCCATCTTTCACACAAACACAATGAAATTGGACAACAAATATTTGGAACAACAATGGCTGGTTGGATATGTTTCAGTTTCTGCTGCAACACTGAGATGGCAGAGTCATGCTATGACATAAACAACTTGAATGCATGAATCCATCCTGCCTGGTGGTGTGGGATATATTGTATTGACACACTTTGGGCACCAACTGAGCACCATTTAAACACCACAGCTTATTGAGTATTTGTACTGACTGTGTTCATCTTTATGACAGCGTGCTTCCAGCAGGATAATGGACCATGTCACAAAGATCAAATCATCACAAACTGGTTTCTTAAACATGACAATGAGTTCACTGCACTCAAATGGCCTCCACAGTTACCAGATCTCAATCCAACAGAGCACCTTCTACAGGAAATTCATGTATTTATCTATCTGCTTAGCACTTATTTTTATGTTTATTTAAGTGTTGTCTTACAGTATGTTTTGCACTAAATACTGCAGCAATTTCCTAATGTTGTAAACCTGCTCAACATTTGGCAAAAAAAAAAAACCTTTCTGGTTCTGATTCTGAATGTGGAGCAAAATCTGTTAGGATGGTTAAAAAATGAAGTCAGGTTCTGAAGGCCAAAGAACTCATTCCCAGTATGACGTACCAAATAAAACAGCTGGTCATTTAAATGTTACATAATATTCATTCCAGATTGGGAACTTTTGTTCAGCATGTTGCTTGATGTCAAACTCAGTTACACCAAAAGGAAACAGGGATCACATTAAACTCACAATCTAGACTTTTTGCTTTAATTCAGAAAAATAAAAGAAAATTCTGGTTTATATTCCTTTTCCCCGACACAGCCTTCTTGCATACAGATTGGTCCATTTGATGGAGTCACCAGTTTAATCCATTTTCATCATGTTAGATTTCATTTCCTAAATGTTGCAAATAAAAACAAAAGCAGAAAAGCAGCAAAATGTAAGCATACTTTTACAGATAAAACACATTTTAAAAGTTGAAGGTTTTACCTTGAAGAAGAGGTCAGCAGTCCAACATGACATGATGTTTAGGATCCCCAAATATTATTTCCCATATGCCTACACGCTCTCAATACAAACAATGACAGGAAGAAACATCATTTTAAATAGTTCTGTGTAGCATTATTATCCCCGATCAATCTACTGACAGTAAAGGAGAGGTCAGAGGTCACGTTTGACATTTTAAACCTTTAAATGGGACTTTCTGTTGATAATGCACACCGCACGTAAGAAGTAAGAATCGTAGTTTCTAAGTTATAAGGTTTTGTGTCTTGAAGACCTTGGTGGATCTAAGCTAAATTTTACTCCAATGTTAACACGAATCAACATACACCGCTACAAAATTTAAAGCTTGAGCGATCGTGTTTACGGGTCGCTCATTTTACCTCCTGCATCAGTGGTCATTTAGTTGTATTTAGATGTATCCCACAACACCCTACACCTAAATTAGCTTTTTTCCCTCGTCAGGGATCCATTTGGAGACTCCTAAAATTCCAATACTGGCATTTTGGGATGTAGGATGGAAAGTGGGCTTTGAGAGCCAGAAACTTCAGCAGCTGGCAGAGTCTTGACTGATATTTATTAACAACACTGTCAACCGCGCAGATAAATTTTACATTTGCACCATTGGCCAATAAATATCTTACTTCTTAGTCTTGTAAACATTTATAGAAATCTCACACAACATTGTGTTGTCAG